GCTTCCATAGCAGGCTCCATATTGGATTCCGTTCATTAAACATTGGATCTCTGTTTTTTGTTTTGTTAAGGAGCTCCTTATTAACCCTCTGAACCAGAAAACCTGCTGGCATGGCGTCTTTGAAACGTAAAAATAAATGTACTACAGTTTTTAGTAGTAAACTAAAATTACAGAAGCAGATTTTTCCAACAGTCCTTAAACACATCATGTGTTTAGGACAGTTCTGTCAGGAAAAATGACTAAAAATTAGCTCAAAATTGTGATATTTCATAAAAAATCCCTTCATTCTACATGTCAAATTCAAAAATTCTTCATCAGATTCTGTAAAAAACAAACATCTGTGCACTCCTCAGCCTAACTGTGACGTCATGACTGACTCAGCTTTGAGAAAAGTGACTAATGTACTTCTGTAGTAACAGTATTACTAAATAATACAAAAAACAAAAAACAAATGCATCAACAGGGTCCGAACTCTATCAACCCCCAAAATCCACCGGCAGGATTGAAAGGCAGGTTTCTTAAAAAAAAAAAAAAACAGAGAAGCTGCAAAAACATACAAATATCATTGGATTTTAGCTTTCCAACGGTCCTTGAAGTAATCACGTGGGCTACTGGGTTCTGTCAGAATTAACCAAATCCAAGCTTAAAGAGATATTTCAAAACAACTGATATTTCATAAAACTCTGCCTTTTCTTTTTGTTTCATCAGAAAAACAACAAATAAACACTGACGTTGCAAATGACAAACAGTGAACATCACCTTTGATTTGAGGCTAAAATCTGATCTGCTGAGTTCTACTTACCCATTTTACCTGCCATCACACAGATGTAAATACAGTCTGAGTTATTCCTCTGGCTTACTGAGACACACAAAACCAGGAAACACACTGTCAGATAACATCACAAACACTCAGTACATCATGTAAATGGTGCTTCATTCAGGTAAATCCACCCACCTGATAATATGGAGGCAGATTTAAAGAGCTCGTGTAGGTAACTGGTTGAGTTTCCCATCACATCCAGCAGAATGGCTGTAAAGTCTGATTAAAAACACACAGTTTACAGTTTTTTAAAGCACAAGTTCCCTAAATGAGCGCTGTTTGATTAAATGTTCAGACCTATGTACCTGTTAAATCGTTGGTTTCGTTGGTGACGCAGTAGCAGAATCTTCTCCTGAACTTGTTGCTTTCTATATTTCTGATGCTGGAAACTGGGAAAAACAAACAAGAATCAGATCAGAGAGCAACGAGTATTTATAGGAGTTAAAGTTTAAGGTAGTAGAGTAGAAAACATCTTCTGCACATCTGGTGATCGAGTGAGTTTACATATAAATGTAAAAATATGAAGTCTTGTGGACTCGAAACAGCTTCTACACATGAAGATAAAGTGAATTCATGAGGAGTTTAATACTGTTTTCTCATATTTACAACATCTTAGCAAAAAAAAAAAAAGTTGTGATTTATTAAAAAAATCTTCCAATGCACAGATCTACTGATTTATACCTTAATTTAATAAAATCCAAACAGAAGTGTTGTTCATGACACATCTGAACCACTAGATGGCACCACTGACCACGTCTTACTGACGCTGGCTGAACAAGGTGAACGCTACGAACCACAGCAGAGCCTCTAACTGCATTTATACATTTTCTTATTTGCAGTTTTATTGGAAGCAGGAGTTTGTAAAGAGAGAATATTTACTGTTGTAGACCAACAGGGTGAGTTTGTGCAGAGCCAGAGAGCTGTAAGACGTCACACTGAGCAGAGAGAAGAGCTGCCGGGAGCCTGAGAAACACCAGGAAACAAGGTTTTAATATGGAATCATACATCGAGGTGTGTTGTGATCACAGCAGGAAAAAAACATGGAGCTCGGAACTGAAACTTACTCTGGTATAATTTGGAGAAAGACTGAGGTTATCTACTATCAGTATACTCAAGAGGATGGCAGTGTTTGGCTCTGATTTATGTTGACATTTTGGAAAACTAAATGTGCCAAATTAATTATTAAAGCTTCTTTTTTCTGGGTCTGTTTAAAAACTGGCGTATTTTCAGACATCTCCTACACTTTGACAGCTGGTTTTCTAGTTAATATCTCCTGTTAAACCACACATTTAAAGGCCAGTCCACCCAAATCTCAAAAGATTCATCTGAGTTTGTGCTGCTTCCAGCAATGACAGAACAAAATTCTGGAAAAGCAAACTCAGCCATGAATATCTGAGAAGAAAAAAGAAAAAAAAAAAAAAACACCTAAAAATCAGGAGTTTTCCTTGGCAATGACTCTGTGTTACCTGATTTGCCAGAAAAATTTGGATTTTCTTTTATTTTGGACCATCTGATGAACAAAAATGTGTATTATGCTTGACAACAGTCCACCGAAATCTCCAAAAAACACATTTTCATCCTCATTTCCACTGTCATCATGCCATGCTAGTGTTATGTTCTGAGTACAAAACTTTCAAATACATTTCAACAAACACGAGATGTTTTGTGATGTGTGTTGAATTATCATCAGTTTCTCTGTTTAGTGAACATTAATAAGGCAAAATCAGCCT